TGTTTGAGCTTATATTTCATTGCAGGTGAACCGTTTTTGTTCACTGGTTGGTCAAAACATCTTAACAAGTGTTTCCCAAACTTTGTATGTTCGACTCTTTTTTTTTTCTTTATCATAAAATTTATCATTATCAAATATTTAAGTCCGCGCCTCCGCGGTTTAGTACTACGCTCTCGTCATACTCGTATTATCGTATAACGTATATGTTAAACTGTGACAGCAGCAAGAGATGAAGATCTTGAACTCGCCTCTCAGACTCTTGTAAAACCGTGTTATATTTTTGCAATATCGTAAGACGTAAGGTAGGCATTAGCATGAGCTAAACTACATGTGAATTAGGGAATAATGTTTAACTGCTGTTTCTAGGACAAAATTTGAGCTTATTCGTGAATCGTGATCGCGCGCTGGCGGCGCTGCGCATGTGCCATCGCCGCCAAGAGTTCGCAACTTCGCGGTTCAAGAATGGCTTTCCACGGCTTGAGAAATAGGCTTACGGCTTGGAAATTCGTTATTTCGCGGCTCAAGAAATCCAGTCGCGGCTCACAGAGTAGATCTTTTCCTCCCCTGACCGCAACTATGTGCGATCTTCAACAAAACGTTTAGTTGATTTGTTTACATTACGATGTTTATGTTTTTTCTGCAAGATATTTTTGGCGGGAACGGTACAGCAATGCGGATTGCGGAAGTTGAAAATTTTATGAAAATGACATGTTTGCAAAGTGCAAACCGCAATTTTTTAATCAAACAAAAATTTATGACATTCGAGCCGCGAGATTTCATACCTACTGAAATTATATGATATTAGAACCGCGATATTTCAGACAAAAATAGGACTTTTCCAGACTAGGTACGGCGACCGTAGGTAGTAGGGCCCTGCACTCTGCAGAGACATGTACCACTGCCAAACATGTTCAAGACAACTAGCGCCAATTTTCTATCATGAAAAAATCATGATTGGTGAAATTTAATTAGCTACAAGCCTACAACACATTTAATAAGAATGTTTCATCTTGTTTGATAAAGAAATTGAATTTTGAGCCACAACACAAGGTCAAGTTGTCAAGATGAAGAGTAGGACTTTTCATACTATGATACTACTAACTTGGTAACTAAGTAGGTAATATAGGCTGAAATCAAAGTTCTGCAAAATTAAACAAGAACTGTTAGGCCTACTGAAAAATAAATTGTGTCTCGTGTTTTAATTTATTAGAACAAATAGGCTATATATTAAATGTAAATAATTTAGGTAATGGCAGATTGGCAGAAAAACTTTATTAAAATTAGTTGGGAAAGCAATAATAATCGTTACATGGTAAGAAATGTGCAAGCAAAGCACAACCATACAACAAGCAGAGCCTGCAGAGGTGCATACGTGATGCGTGCATATCGTGAGATTATTTGCACTATCATCGGCTCTTCTCTGAGTTCTCACCTCATTGAAGAATTTCGTGAGGTCATACACTTTGTCGTGAATAACTACAAAGCATGATTCAGCAGTTTTGTGCTCTGCAACTTCTTTCAGTGTGTATTTTCTGAGATTTGTTTCAGCCATTGTTTAATTAATTCCACAACTAATATGTATACCTGGAGGAAATTTAGGGACAGCAGGAGGACAACACTGCGCACACTAACCCCACGACATTCGCTCGCACACTGAGTCTGAGATACCACCAATCACCAAGGTCTGTCGGTCTGTTGGGCAGTTTGCGTCATCAGAGTTGAAGGAATACCGGGCGAAGTGCATATCACGTGTACCTATCAATGATGCTAATGTATTTTTGAGTAAACCTATTAAAATCTACAAATACCCGTATTCTAGTCTAGTCTAGTAGAGTCTTTCACTCTTCTCGTGCAAGTTCGATCAATGTACACAGTTTTTTCCACGATGGTTTGATTCATTGAATTGAATTAGCTCGAGTTTTGGTTCTTGTAATTTTTAATGGTAAGCTTTTAAGGCAGTGGTTCCCAAACTTTTTCAGGCTGGCGCCCACTTTGGCTCCCCAGTGAATCCCTAGAACCCCCTCCCTCCCGACACGTATAAAAACAAACGCCACTTTCTTGATATTTAGTACGCTGCAATTTTAAAAGAGAAAGGTTAAACATTAACAAGTGACTTCCTGGACAAACATAGTGATGTCCGCGCTGAAGTGTAGGCCTGATGTGGCATGTCACCGATTCTTTTCCTTTTCGTGCCTTGTTCACAGATCTAAAGGAAAGGAGGAGGCTTAATAATAAGGATAATAATAATAATACATATAATAATAATAATATCAATAATATTAATGACGCTAATAATAATAACAATGCTAAAAATAATAATAATAACATATTTTCAAAATAAATGCCCGGAATACAGGGTAGAGAGGCGCGGGTTCGAAGTTTCAAACCCGCCGAGTTTCGAAATTTCGAACTGACCAGTTTCTGGTCATAATCGGCTAGAAGGCCGCGGTAGTGAGTTGCAAGTTCGTGAGCGCAAAATGCTGTGAATGTTCTGCGATGTTAAAAATCGGCGACAGGCCTAAGGCCTACTAAACGCTTAAACCGCTATGGTTTTTACTAATAATATTATTATTATAATAAACAGATTATGGCTACAGCAATAATGTATAACTGAATCAAAAAACCAAAATGGCGCCTCCTAAACTGTTACTGCGCTTGCCTTCAGCTAAAGTTTTCTTGTACATAATACAAACTCCATTCCTTCTATAACCTGTTTTCTACTACCTCACCTCTCTACCTGGCTTCCTCCTTCCTCTCCTGCACCAACATCAAATAAATACGTCACGCTGCAGCTGACAGCAACACTAGTAAATGAAATTACAGTACAGTAAATAAAATCCAGAGCCTGGCCATTGTTGCCAGGCTTTGATGAATTTTATTTCTCGGCGTCACGGCCCAAATAAAAGTATAGGATAACTTGTTAACGCCAGCTTCATGACGCTCAATGTAACTAACATTATGGATTTAGAATAGAATAGAAGTGTCGGCATTGAAGAAATAGGCCCAAGGCCTGTTGCCGATTCTTGTACTTTTCGTGACTTGATTCACAAGGGATCCGGCCTTTGGAACCCGATCTTTCCATAACTGACGATTGATTGAGATAGCTGCTGGACTTATTGCCTGGTCCGTAATTTGCTAGGCATTTTAAGACTGAACATATGCTCCTGCATAGCTTCGTCTGGACTTATTGCCTGGTCCGTAATTTGCTAGGCATTTTAATTTTTAAGACTGAACATATGCTCCTGCATAGCTTCGTCTAGTGACTCTAGTCTGTACTTGAAGGCGTTCATGCTCGGAGCGTCAACGATGCTATCAGGGAGGCTGTTACACATGTTTAAATAAAGTCATTTATCATTCGGCATCTTTCTTTGATATACATCTTCTTCGTTATGATTTTCGTTTGAGTGGACTTGATTCACACAAGTTCGATCAATAGACACTGTTTTCTTGAGAGTTATTTTCCACGATGGTTTGATTCATTGGATTTAATTCGCTCAAGTTTTGGTTCATGTAATTTCAAGCTCTGAAATTATAGAAATTTAGGATTTCGCGTCCACGGCAAATTAAAATATTCTATGGAACGGGCGATGGTCAGTCATGGGAAGTGCGATGCCTAAAGTAGCTCTGTTTGCTCTGTTGTTAAGGTTTAAATGAAAGAGCTTTGCTGTAGGTACCTTGTTTTTAACGCATTCAACGTCGACTAGCCAACAAACGGAGCATTGCGTATCGCTATGCATATTTGATTTCAACATGTCTATCTACAACGCGCATTGTTATGATTAACAAATTTCATAAACGAAGGCGATACTCAAATCTCCCTGTGAAGGTCGTAAGTTTAGAGATGGTCGCGACCTAATGTCGTAACACAATGTCAGAATTCACATTGAATATGTGCGAATTAGAAGAACTTGGTTGGAGTATCTTAATTTTTTGATAGAAATAGAAGAATAGAAAGTTGATTAACCTTAATTACTAGTTAACAACTTATTGTATGGTTCCACATTAGCCTTCTAGACAGCCTTTATCAGTTACTTGTTGTGCATGAGAAATTAGAATCATATTTTGAATGAATGATCGTAGAGTTTTTAACTAGCATATAATGTAGCATAATCATGTTATGAATAAATTATCTTAGATTGTTGAAAGAGGCAGGTACAACAAGTTAAGAAATTATTGTTAACTGTAACGCCCAGCTAATAAAAATAATATTACGTTTTTATTTGGATCAACACGGAGTTTATACGGCATATAACATGACTATTTTACTGCGTCGCTCTGTCATTCAGACCTAGTTAGTCAGACCGGTTAGCTCTGTCATTTAGACAACATAGTTAGCCACATGGTTGAACTATACATGTAAAGGTTGACCCACGAGAAGTTCCGTCTTTCAGTTCAGCTTTCTTGTTACGTCACGCAGATCGAGAAACGTAAACAAACCCGTCATTCCCACGGCGGATTGGTTAACTGGTTTGATCGCATTTCGGTGATTGGTCAATACCAGTGACGTCACTGAGATCAGTGACGTCACAGGCGATCAACGAACTACATCCGCAAAAATGGGCGTCTGATGGGTCAGCTTTATACTAGTTCAACCATGGTTAGCCAGACCTATAATTAGCTCTCTGAATCCACTGGGACGCTGAAACGTCGTAGCTCTGAAACTTCGAAACTGGGAACTATACCTCATACGCTGAGTTGACAGCTTGCACAGTTTATATGTCGCGAGGACAAGAGCTCTGTGGGCGGAAGCAACACGTCTATAAAAGGACTGGGCACTTAATCAGTCCTCGCAGTAGCTTTCACGTCCGAAGCGACGTACATCCGGTACATGATAGTGCTCACTATATTAGGAGTGCGTCAGCATGAAGGTTGATGGTGTTAGGGGTGCCTTTGTGATGATTGTTAGCTACCATCCCATGTTGAGATAAGTGTAAGATGAATGCGTCTTAATTAGTCGCTTTTCACGTTTAGTCATCGAATCTCTGACCTCAGGTGAAACTATGACTATAATATATATAATCGATAGCAACACCTTAATATACCACCAGACACATTTAGTGTTGACGTCTGCTACATAGTCGCTGCAACAACTAAGTTGACTGCTTCAAATCAATCTGACATATAAAAACGGCACATCAAGTTTCACTTGTTCCTCGGCCTGACGACCAACAAGGCCAGCATTAGGTTGTTTATGTAGGTCTCATAACCAAATAGTTTACAATAGTCCGTAAATTGTTCTGGTGCCCCTGGTAACTGGCAGCTAGTTTTTAAAATGTTGTTTTGGTTTCCCATGAAAGTGTACACAGTCCTTAGTTAATTGTAAATCCCCAACCTAAAAAGTATCGAAAAATTAGTCAGTTTTTCTAATTCCTCAAAACGAGACAGTAGCCTCTAACTAGTTAGTACCTGCAGTTCCCGTGTAGCAATCGGACCGACACTAGTCGGTTGGTAGTCGCGGTTGCTTAAATTAGTAGCAATTAGGTCATTAGTTATTGTAGTTGATGATGGACATGACGGTATCACCAAGGTAGGCAGCCGCGGCAGCAAGAGAGAACACTCCCATAGTGATGCCGCAGTCGCGTGTTGACCCATGAACATCCGCACTATAGTGAACTAGGGCCATCACGCCGTAGATTGTCAGGAAGAAGAAGAATAGAAAGTTGATCGAGAACTCCTGCAAGTTGAGAAAATTCATTACATTTTTGTATCTTCATGCTCTTCTATGCCTTTATCATAACACGTGAAAGACACAACGAATACTCACCGAGAACGCGTTAATGATTTTACAATCTGCTTTTGGGCGAAGAGTCCTACTTCTCTCATCACAGATGGTTATCTGGATCTACATTCTGTCTGTGACTGAAGAGACACACACTAGTATTCACAAAGAACATTCCTATATCTCTAGCCTGACCACGAATAAAAAGACATCCACTAATACTCACAAAGACGGTTTTCTGTATCTCCATCCTGCCCATGAGGTAGGTGACGAAGAGCAATGGAGTGACCAGCAAGCAGGCGTAGAGAGTCCCGATGCCGAAGTAGGCCGCGTTGACATCAAAGTAACCAGTGTCGGAGAACCGCAAGATCAAGAACGCGATCAGTGCGAACACCTGTGGGTATCCATGTACTAGTTGAAGTACAAGTCTATACCAACGTGTACAAGCCAACGTGTACAAGCATGTACCAACGTATACAAGCATGATTGTACCAACGTGTTAGTGTAGCACCCGCATGTACCAACGTGTTAGTGCAGCACCCGCATGTACCAACGTGTTAGTGCAGCACCCGCATGTACCAACGTGTTAGTGCAGCACCCGCATGTACCAACGTGTTAGTGTAGCACCCGCGTGTACCAACGTGTTAGTGCATCACCCGCATGCACCAACGTGTTAGTGCAACACCCGCATATTGTACCAACGTGTTAGTGCAGCACCCGCGTGTACCAACGTGTTAGTGCAGCATTCGCATGCACCAACGTGTTAGTGCAGCACCCGCATGTACCAACGTGTTAGTGAAGCACTGACATGCACCAACATGTTAGTGCAGCACCAACACGCACCAAAATCTTAGTGCAGCACCAACACGCACCAACATCTTAGTGCAGCACCAACACGCACCAACATCTTAGTGCAGCACCAACACGCACCAACATATTAGTGCAATTAGTGCAGCACCAACACGCACCAACATCTTAGTGCAGCACCAACACGCACCAACATCTTAGTGCAGCACCAACACGCACCAAAATCTCAGTGCAGCACCAACACGCACCAACGCGTTAGTGCAGCACCAACACGCACCAACATGTTAGTGCAACACTCCCCCTCCCACCTCACCATCTCGGTGATCTTGAGGATGCCGCTGATGGAGCGCCCGTACTCCAGGTTCATGGCTGCGGCGGACAGGAGCTGTGAACAGAATTATTCATCAGTGAAGCTTCCAGTACATGATTTGTGAGATATCATCCTTAGCTCCCACCACCCAACGTCACTTTACGTCATCCCGCGTCACCCTGCGTCACCCCACGTCACCAAACGTCACTTCACGTTTCCTCACGTCATCCCACGTCGCCCCACATCACCTCACGTCACCCTGCGTCACCCCACGTCACCCTGCGTCACCCCACGTCACCACACCTCACCTCACGTCATCCCACGTCACCCTGCGTCACCTCACGTAACCCCACGTCATCCCACGTCACCCTGCGTCACCTCACGTAACCCCACGTGACCACGTCTCCCCACGTCCCCCACGCCACCCTGTGTCACCCCACGTCCCCCACGTCACACTCGCCGCGAAGTTCGCACATTTTCTTACTGCTCCGAAGCATTCATGGTAATCCATCAATGAGATAATCCTCATGAAATTCGAAATTATATACCAGTCGACGAAGCCGAACCATAATTCCTAATATTTTTTCTTAAAAAGGCCCCTGGATAAGTAAACGCTATCATTATTCAGCTTTTAATTATTCTAAATTATAATTAACGGCTGTCGACGTGCGGTGTTCCTCATCCATACTTACTGAATACTCAATACTGAAGAACGAAGATCTAAAAAAATGACGATCGATGATCTCGATGATACGACGACGATAACAAAAACCCAGACGCAATTAACACGAATACCGGGATTTTTAGTACAATATTGTGTAGTTTTAATACTAATACAACAAGGATTATATTCACTTAGTAATTAGAAACAATGGAAATAAATGATGAGTTGTCAGTGACCAGCGCAACAAGACCACGGCGTCCACTGGCGCTCTGGGACGAGTTCTTGCCTGGGGGCGTTGTGCTTATCAGATATGGTGGCGAGCAATCATTTTCTTATCAGTTTTTTATCATTTAGTCATCACTAATTGTCACCCCCCCTCATAATGAGGGGGATGAGATGGATGCATCTCTCTGTCAGGATGATGGTGAAATGGATGCACTGCAGCTATACTTACCATTAATAGTCACCCTACGTCATCCCACATCACCCCATGTCACCCCACGTCACCCTGCGCCACACCATGTAATTTCCAGCCGCATACATGACGTGGAATTCAGCCAATATCAACTGATTCGTCACGTCGCCTCAGCCAATATCAGCTGATTCGTCACGTCGCCTCAGCCAATATCAGCTGATTCGTTACGTCGCCTCAGCTAATTTCTTCACGATATTGTCTGCAGCAAATGCTCTAAATCTTCATTGGCACAACACAACAATATTGATACTTATATCATTAGTCTGCTTATATCGCAAGTTCATAAGGAATTTAAACGTAAAGAAAACGCCAAGAAAATTCACCATATCGATATTGAAAACGTTTCGGAGTCCGCAGTGCAGTAAACTAATTTTCGATATAATGTTAGGTCTTGTTTAGGTTTTATGTCTGTCTTTGAATTTTGACTTTTAAAGTGATTTTATTCATTTTTAGTTTAGTCGAACTGATGATGGAGCTGAACTCCGAAACGTTTTCAATATCGATATGGTGAAATTTCTTGGCGTTTTCTTTGCTTTTAAACAATATTGATGCTCAGTGTCTGGTATAAATTATTCTACTTCACTCGGCAGCCATTGTATTTATCAGGACAAGCAGAGAAGTGAGAAATGTCTTTTTCTAGTATCTTACGTACCTGCAGCTACATTTTCATTCTATACCTTTATTATTATTATTATTATTAGCATAACAACATCATTTAATTTCCTTCTAATAATACGTCTAAATATTCGCCAATTGTCCAAACTACTTATAAATTGATTTTTTTCTTTATTGGTTAGCTTCGTTATCATTAACCTCTCTTCAGTCTTCTCCGACAATATTTGAGGTATGGATTTATAAATTCATTAATTCAGCTTCTGTTAAATTCTGTTAAAAATTAAATTAAAATTAAAACTAAAATCAAATTAAATTAAATTCTGGTAAATTCTTAAATTCAGCTTCCGTTAATTCTGTTCTGTTCTGTGAATTCTGCTTCTGTTAAATTCATCTACTTTAATATAATTATTATTTAATGTACTTGAAACTTATATTACTCAATATGTACTGTGCAGTTGGTATAATAACAATTCGTTCATTGTACAGGTGTAAATTAAATACTGTATCGTATATACTTTATAGTCGAGCGTGTCAATTCTCGGCAGAGAGTATACTGCATCTGAGTATACTGCATCTGAGTATACTGCATCTGAGTATACTGCATCTGAGTATACTGCATCTGAGTATACTGCATCTGAGTAAGCAGTTCGCTGAAGCTCGTAAAGATCCCTCAGAAACGTTTAGAATTGTACAGGTCGCAGATTTGGATAAAATTCAGAGTGTTATTCCAATATAATATCTAGTTTGCGGAGTAGAAATTACCATCTGGATGTTGCCGAATAAATAAAAATGATTAATATTTCAATTACGTTTGTATATCTATTATAAATTCAATACGAAGGAAATAATTTAACTTCGTGAACAACTTTTTTTTGAATGATAATAAGGTCACCGCAGCAAAGAAAATGAGTTGGTTTTCTATCGTGCCAAGTCTTCATAATAATTTAATTTTGAGCTCAAATTCAGATAATGTTCAGTTGGTTTGCAGTGAAGTCGAACCTGTTTTAATAAGGTACTGTTAATTATGAGGTCTATAAGCTTAATTAGAAGTAACACCGTCAGTGATATAATTAAGCAAGTCTAATGTGAAGAAAACTGCAGCGGCGTGAGTTACTGTCGCTACTTTTAGGCTGTGTGAGACACAAGATATTCATTGCGTCTGCGATGGCACATGGCAGGCGGTAGTGGTGCTATCATACATGCTTGGTATTATTATTAACATAACATAAACATATTGATGTCGGCGCTAAAGCGTAGGCCTGATGTGGCCTGTCGCCGATTCTTTTCCATTTCGTGCCTTGTTCACAGATCTAAGATCGTGTCATTTGACCGGATCTTTTCATGACTGGCGATAGTTTGAAGTAGCTACTAGACTACACTAGATTATTCATCAGGAAGTGATGGGCGGATGGTGAATTACCTTTAACAGGTCTCATCTGGCCTCAGCCCTGGTTGTAATTAAAAGGGCAATTTATTCGATTAATAATAAAACCTTGACACAAAAGTGAAATGGGCCCAAAATAGCCGAGAGAGTGCCTATTTTGAGATAGAATGAGTGGCCCAGTGGTTACAGTTCAGAGTACCAAAATTGGCGCAGCGAGGCGCGGGTTCGATCCCTCAGCTCTGTGCGCCAGTTTCTGGTCAGAATCGGCAAGGAGGCCGGGCGGTTAAGCACAGCAGAATTGTAGCAGTGAGTTGAGATTTCGAGACTGAAACAAGCTGTGCATGTTTTGCGATGTTAAGAACCGGCAACAGGACTACGGCCTAATAAACGCTGAAACCGCTATGCTATGCTATGTTATACATGGAGCAACAAAAAGACGTTGAAACAGTGCGTTAGTTAAGTATGAGATCTTTTAGTTGATCTGTGTTGACGCTGGCACTTTGATTCACAATCCGCAGCCTGTGCGTTGTCTTAATTGAAGATTTGAAGAAGAGGGTTGGATTTCTCTACTTCTTGTTCCGATTTTACAGCAGCCTTCCATCTTCCCTAATTAATTAATTAATTAATTGGCACGTCTAATGGGGTTGGAGTAAAGACTGTGAAGCGCAGATAGTTTATTGGGGTTGAAGAACGAAGACGACTACCCAAACACCTGTACGAATGATGGCCGTTAGAATCGACATGACATGAACACAATGGAATAACAATATCAAAAGAATACATAGAACACAATTGGTATTCAGTTATGACAGCTATACTGAAATGTTTCATTACATTAGGCATATGAATTGAATTCCTAGTGGAAACTTAGCATCTTGCCCCTTAGCCGATATTCACCCCACGACGTCGTCCAGAAAATGACTAAAAGTTAATGCGCGACTGGCAAATGGTTCCCCACTGGCGTCCTTAATTAACAAAATTGACAATATTTGCTGGTGCGATTCAACATAAAATTATTTTGACATACACTGAATTTTTTATCATTAAGGAATTACACGAGTGTTATTCGTGCTCAAAAATTGATGATTAACTGACTGGATATTTTTATAATGGTTTAAAAATGAAGTTGATGAAATCCGAAATAAGCTATCGAGATCAAGATAATAAAGTAAGATATTGTTACAGAGGTTGATAATTACGAGTTTGAATGTTTAATGAAATTAATTATGACATTAAAGAGGAATACTAGTGCGAGATATAAATTCGAGTCACTCCAGATTCAATATCCAATCGTTAAATGGAAGAAGAGTATCAAACAAATGAGAATGCTTTTATAGATTTCGCTTGCTGTTATGACAACGTAGCACTATTAACTATTATGCATCAGTTTCGTAGGTCAATACATAACATGCTCACTGTATCTCATAGATGTGGTCACTGTATCTATCTCCTGTGGCTCGTGCCGTCATATGATGACTTGAGATTTGATAGATTGTTGTTAGTTAATCCCTGAATAAAACTTCGATGAAATACTTTCTGTCTTCTAAAATATCATAGTCACTCAAAAAGTAAACATTTTCTTAAAAAAAGAAAATCGTTTTGGAGAAGCTATAACAGAAAGAGGTCTTGCGTAAATTTAACTGTTTGAAGTACATTAAAATACCTTGCGCATTCAATGTCATTTATAGTTGTGCTTCCATTACCTGAAATGAGATATCATTAACACATTCACGCTCGCCTTGGTTTTCATGTTGGTCCAATTAGCACGAACGGATAAAGCCGCCCAAATTTATTATTGTATTGGACCAGCTTTTATTTTAAAAACTTCGAATAGATATTGCTAAAAACGCAAAAAAGAATCTGAAAGCCTTCTTTTTGTACGCTTGTTCGAAATGTAAGTCAAAGGACGGTATTTCTGATTTGAAAGTAGACCAACGAAAGATTTCCTCTGATGAGGGCAAGGCTAACGT